ACAACCCTTCAACCTTTGGAGTTGTCCGACTCAGTGACAAATTTAAGGTGCCGATTTAAACAATCCGAATTCCTTGTAGATTTTACATTCGGTTGTACATTTTGTTAGCGGAGGTTTTTGTTGCACCTGAATTCGCCTCGCCGCTTAAGCCTATTGGCAGTAGTGGAAACTAATGATGTTTCTAATATCCTGAAATTATCAAATAAATCTCCAAATGTCAAATTGCATTAGACTCAAACTTTGATATAAAATGCATGTATCTGTTTAAAACGATGTAACGACTGAATACACGATAGGTACATTGTCATTGCATTGATAACTTAATATTGTATGCACCCAATGCTCCCATTGCAGCCTCCATGCCAGCACTGAATTACCCTCTACCTCTGATCGATCAGCAAGAAATGTCCACAATAATAACTGCGACCCTGGTAAAGGGTAAACACACAATACGACTGTAGACTGTAAACAACGTATTATGGAGAATTACAAACTGCTGTATAAACAAAGACTACGTGAGGTAACCGATAATGCTTGTGAATTTTAAAGTCCCCGGCAAGAGACAAATGTGTGAATATTAATGAAAACAGCCTGTAGTCTCTGTAAAGGACATTTATCTGCTGCTGTGCATCTAGATTGTTTCTTGACAATGGTTATTACTGACTGTTGAGATAGTGGCGCTCTATATCATATTAGCTCATCCCAGTATACCTTCCTTAAATTAGGTTGCTGAATAAAAGGAAGAATATTGGTATTGCGCGTAAGTAAGTTCGTCTGCATGCTCTCTGAATCTGAGGCCTCTTAATCGTCGCGTCACAATGGCATCCTTAGCGCAGACAATTTACACTTATATGTGGCCCCTACCCCATACCAGAGTGGCAGATTACTATACAGGCACATTTTCCACATTGAGAGGATGTGTGGCCCGTGCCATCATTCTCAGTGCAATCATTTCGTCTTGATGTTTACGTTAATGTCCACAAGAACTCATGCATTTATATGTACCGCATTTTTGCTGCCTTACCAGAGGTAAATGTGCAGGGTCTAGCAGACGATACACTATCCGCCCTATTAAATGTGTCAAATGAGAGAGGTGTGTCCGCACTTGTAAAGTTTATACACAGTGCTATGAGAAAACGGAAGCTATCTAAATTGAGATAACACCTGTAACTTTATTATTACTATGTACATGTATTTAAACTTAAGTATATTATAATTAGTAGTGTAGAGAGCCTATAAATGTACACTCACTTCATGTGCTCAATAAATTATTATTATTATTATTTTTCAAATTTTACAAAATCAGAATCAAGTAAAGGTATATCCTCTTCTGTTTGTTGTATTTACTTCCTACATGACTGACTATATACAACAAGTACACATATCTTCATAATTTGTACAAACTGTAGACAAAAAATTCTGCGTAGCTTGAACCGCATTATTCAGCGCGCCCTCACGGAAACTGTACCCTAGGTTCTAGATTCCGGTATTGCCAGCTCGATCTTGATTTCATATATAACCCATATTGTAAAATACCACTTTGGGTATTTTATGATTGATATAAATAATTAATTAAAATAATAATATTCATATCCTAAGATAAGCTTAGGAGGGGGCAGTCAATAGACATTCGGGAATGATCGTAACCGGGGCAGATGGCACGAGATAAAATTTAGAAATGCCGTTGAAGGCTAGGGCGGATAATGATGATCCAGGAAACACGGTGACTGAGTTGGGGCAAAGCCTGAGACAAAAGGACTGCGCTCAGTCAAGTGTTATTTCTTCCTGGTTATTAAAATTCCTGAATGATCTATAAAGGCTGCCCTGTTTTAAGGTAATATCATATCTTATTTTGGCTCTGGCGATATCAAATACATTTTGGACTGACAGTTACTATGTAGGAGAAACCTCTGTATATTTTCCAAGAGACAGTATTAAATTTCTACTTGCGTCAAATGAGAATCTTGTTCATTTTATTGGATCAGCTGGGCGCACAACACTAAGGCCCTAGAACCAGCGCGTTATCTAACGTGACATTATTTTAACGTAAAGTCTGACTGGCGAAGTCTGGGACTTAACAATATGAGCAATACCACTGTGAAGCTATCGCGTCAAAACGACTGTAAGAATAGCTAATAGGAAATGTCCGGGATAGCTTATTTTGAACATCTGCGCAGCAGATGACGTCAAACGAAACCTGGATCGGAGCGAGATTTTACGAGAGGTGGGGTTAAAATCTGTCATTGAAACTTCTCTCGTGGTCGGGCACAAGTCAATGTTATAGGATTGCATTGAGTAAAATTTGGCGTTGTCATGTAATTTGAGATACAGCAACGCAATGGCGAATTGCTAATGTTGTGTCGTAGGGTGCATTGCAGTTAAAGTTAAGCGAGAAAACCAGGAAAATGACCATGGATGACGGACACGACTTGCGAGAGAAGTGAAGTGAAGAAAGAGAAGTTGGGCTTGATTAGATTGAAAGGACTAAGTGCCGACATATTTAAAGTACAGATCAGGTCGCAGTATTTTGTAGAAAGAAAGGGACCAACTGCAGACAACTCGCACCCGGCACGTCATTGGCTCCATAGCATCACCGTATAGACCGTATCATCAACGGTCGAGGGGGATATTAATAAGTAAGTTTTGTGTGTAGTTTACAGGACACCATGGTTTATTAATGTAATACAGCCCTAGTATTTGTGATTAATAGTCTTTTACGGTAACTATATCAGGCAAATTTGCTTGTAGGCCCCTACCATTCCTATCCCCATATAACGTGTACCTGATTATGAAATACTGGTGAACCTTCCACACCTATTAAGTATACGCGATGTTCAGTTGCATTTGTAACATTCCATGCCGGGTGGTCAGTTATGATAATTGCAAGTAAGGTAGAAATAAGAGTTGGTATTTTACAACAACGTTTATCACATAATGATATATATTTCAGAAAACTGAGTTATTGTTTATTTATTTTAGAGCATGACAGACACAGCACATGTTATTGAACCAGGCAAGAACTGAGAGAGTCATGTGGTCAGGATAATCAGATGTTGAAGATTGCTCAGTGTATATTTATCTCTTATGTCCTTAGTTATTATGTTGTTTACTTAATTATATCAGGAGTCAACAGATGGCATTTTTGTCTGGGTGTCACTTACAGTATCAGGCATTTTCTTTATTACTTTAAAATGAAATATTTGGTTTTATGAATATATATATATATATAGGCCTATGTATTGTACTGCACTAGTGATTTAATGAAGAAAATTATTTTTCTTGCTAGTATCATTCTTATGTTACTGTAGTGACTTTTTTAAATAACTATATGGAACCTGTTTTTCATATCATTTACTCAGATCACAAATACAAGTTCGCCTGTGATGTGTTATTTGTTGCATTTCTGTATAATTGTCAATAAAATGCAATGATTTTGTGAAAATTTCAACTTACATGTTGTCCATTTTAATACTTTCTTTTGTCATCTTTCCTGTCATTTAAGTCGGATCTGATCACAATGAAACTTACATTTTGTGAAGTCTATCCATTAGTTTCTATAGCATCATTTTCATTAGTAAATAAATGAAGAAAATTAACTGTATGATCAAACTCGAGCCTTTTGAATTAATTACTATAAATTTAGTGAAATTAAAACAAAGATGCCGGCAAGTCTAATGTTTTGATATGCCATCCATCAGTAAATGAAATGTCAAATGATTTTATTGTACTTCTTTATAAATAAAGTTTAATAGTAAAACATTTATAAAGAAAAATTAGTTGTTGTTCAAACGGATCTCATGAAATGACCAGTCAATGAAGAACAATCAAAAATGAACAATATCTTTAATGTGTCTATTTTGCATCCACTGGCATGTTTAGACAAGCATCTCTTTAAAATCCCAAAGACAGAATATAAATTGACAATTTAAAAATGAAAAAGAGTGGATAACTATATGAAGTTCTTGACATCTACATCAGGGAAATAGTGAAAATGGAAGTTTGTAGCCAACACCGATTGAAAAATCCATCCCTGCAGCTAGAGGATTCAAGTCAATTTAGACTGGTTTACATTTGCCAAGCAATGTGATCCATCTTTATCCCAGAGTTTGCATGTGAAGTTATCCAGCCCCCCTTTACCGGGTATGTCCAATATGATGCTATAGCCACAGCATGTTTTATATGGCATCCCCACTGAAAAAAAAACGAATAATTTATGTTCACTCACAATAACAAATTTGACATGCCGGATACTAAACATAGCACTATAGTACTGGCTTTTTGAGAGATTGAACTTCAAACTAAAAGTGATAATGATGGCCTTTTTAGTTTGTGAATAAAACGATTAAAAAACATCAGCTGACAAAACCTATCATACATCAGTAATATATTAACAGAGATGTGATATACACTTCATTGTAAATTGAGAAATATTTCCTTACCTGGCAAAGTTTAACATTGGCCACATGAATAATTGGAAGCTGCCGGGGTATCATCCGTCCGATTCTCATTCAATCCTAGCCACTTTCATCTAAAAGGCATGCGTATCAACGGGCATGGTAACTAATGCCATTTTCCTGTACCACAAGCAAGTATCTGGTGATGTAGCCTGTTTAACGCGACCTTTGCTGCGTAGCACGTCCTCCGGGCGAATTTTGCTTTGCAAGCGTCATCGGCTCTTAGCTTTGCAAATTCAACATGTCAGTTGTACGTACATATTATATCAATACTTTTTCTTAATAAAGTGAAAAAAGAACAAGCCTGTAGCTCAAAAAATGTGTAAGTTCAGCTTTTTTTCAAGTAAAGAAATCACTGCTCTACTTCCTCCATAATTTAACCCCACCTCAAGGCAGATCTCGTAAAATCACGGGGAAACTTGGTCTTCTCGTTGAGAACCCGGACAACCTCTATTGTCCTGACACTCTGGCTGGCGACCTCTATGTGATATCGCTATTCGCAATACGCGATGCTTTCTAGTTACGGGGCCCTGGTGTATACCGTATACGTAATCAAAACAAAAATAGCTCTATTGATATTGAAATCACTGCAAGTGATCTGATTTTTAGACTCAGTCTTGACGACGCGGAGAGCCGGCAACATGGACGCAGCGAAAGCAAGACCGTCAGACGCATCTTCGGTCGACAGTGGATTCAATCAGGAAAACGAAGAAATGCTATATAATCGACGCCCATCAAGCTCGTCTTCTCGTATCAGCTTCCACTCGGAAGGAAAAGGTATTGTTCGAGGGGACAGGCGGTCTGGAACAGTCGCTGATCTGTGGGTTGGTTTGGTCTCTCTCTCTCTCTCTCTCTCTCTCTCTCTCTTTTTTTTCCTTATCTTTCTCTCTTTCCACTATGCTCCTAACTTCATATCCAACACAACTTATCGATATTCACTAAAACACATGCCACATCAACGAGTTTTCTTATTCTATTTCTCAGAGGTCCACCTAAATTGCCGCAACTGCAAGGCGACCCTAGCCATACCCCGAGCTGTCACATCTGTGGAAGAGCTCCAGGCTGAGGGCGTGGCTCTGGATCCAGCGTACGAGCAGGAACAGGGGAGGGATGTGGAAATATGTTTGCCAGACGTTGACGTGTATTGTTTGCCCGTCAAAACCTTTTACGACCCAGACGACAGTAAGTATTTTCAAATCTTGTTCGTGCGCTCTTATTTTTTTAATATAGCTCAAGATGCGTGGGATGGTGTTTGTAGTGGGGGGCGATTGAGTGGGGAATTGTGTGAAGGTATTCGGAGACAGTAAAACTGATAGGGACAAAAACAAAATTTAAATTTAAAAAATAACTTTATTTATGGATGCCTATAAAATGTACGTGTTTATATGTCATCATTTGAAACATGTTTACCACTTTTGGTGTACATATGCCACATATTATAGAAGAGTCAATGTCAGAGCTGATTAAACGACATTTATAGTGTTCAAGGTCGTGGAAGTTTTTCGGGGAAAAACCAGACGCACTTTTCTGTTTGCAAGAGTACCATTTACGTCAATATCACCGCACTAAAACTGGTTTTGTTAAAGCTATCCCTATATAAGCGTAGCCTTGCTTTTATGTGGCATATATATTTTTTTACTGACCCACTTTTCTTTTTAGAGTGCAAGCGCGATATAGTGTGCGTAAAGGAAAAGTGCAACGTATACATGAAAAAAAAGGTAACGCTAAATATAAGATCGGATAAATCTAAGATCTAATATACCATTTATTAGATCTTAGGATAAATCATAAAGAAATGCCACTCCCCCCCCCCCCCCCATAAAAAAACACTCTTTCCCCCTGGAAAATTGGAAAATATCGCTTTTAAAAACATACTTAGAAGGGCTCAGAAACCCATTTTTTCCACTTGAAAATTCACGCAGAACCCGGATCAGCAATTTCACACCCCAGATCTTATGTTGGTCTATTTTATTAAAGCAACTGATTTGGCTATCAAAGAAACTAAAATCGCTTAGCTATATCTTATTTGCCTTTCTTTATAATTATATTATATCGTGTAGATGTAATTGTCTGTGCGGCTATTCTAAATTACCATGATTATAATAGCATCAATGATAACAACTTTTACAGACGCGGACCAAACTGATGTGGTTTCAGCATTACGTCATGTTGAGATGCTACTGCTGCAAATGCGAAAAAAAAGTTGGGAGGTAAATATCTAAAACGGTGGAGAACCGTTCATCGAACATCTCAAATAAGATATTCTGTCAGATAATTGTATACGGAACAGTTCTAATATTCCCTGCAAATTTAAACTGGTGAGAAGTAGACATGAACGCTCTTTTTCGAATATTCTACAAACAGATAGCTTGTGAATGAAGACAATTGTAACTTTAGAGAAAATGAAATTTTTTTTGTAGACTCAGTATAGTTTGTTCTATCTTACCATAAAAACGGCATAGGGATTGGTTGAAGAATATCTTATTTGTTTCCAAACTTTTATTTGGTCAGATATATAAGAAATGTTCCCACGAAGAGATGGGTAATATTCATGTTTTATGTTTTTTTAAAATCATTTTTACAGTTTTTTCAAGCCAAAAGACGAGACATCCAAACTCCCAACGTTTTACGGTCTCATGCTTGAAAAGCTGGACGGAAAGCACCAAGAAGGTACTATACTGTTAAGAAATATTTCATATTTACGAGCTACATGTACCTTAAAAAGATGTATGTTAAGATACTTCATAGTATTTTCACGTATTTTCCCACTTTCGCTTTGCAGCTCTTTGTTGTTAAGTACACCATTAAATTCGATATCACCACATGGGTATATTGGATTTTATCCACAAGTTTGAAAGCTATCACTTTAAGCTTGTTCTTTATTTGTGCATTTTATCTTTTTATTGACTTACTTCATCCTTTTAGTGACTAAGTGTCAGGTATATTAGATTTTATCCACTAGTGTGAAAGCTATCATTATATAAGCAAAACATTAAGCTTGTTTTTTATTAGTAAATTTTATCTTATTATTGACTCACTTCTTCCTTCTAGTGATTTAGTGCCAGAAATGTTCTAAATGCTCTAAGAAGTCCTTCTATTTCAGCGTTACCTCAACAGGCTTGGCATGCATTTTATTTGATCTTGTATTATCTGTTAAAATGTAGCCATAAGACATGCAAACTGTAATTACATGTATTAGTGAACAAGACGTGCCAGTATAATAGTTATGTCGAAATAAAACTAACTACACGATATTTACTATCCACAATAGGCTAAGTCTATCTAAAACGTGCCTTTATACTTCTCCCAATCCCTTGTAGTATGAATTTTTTTTGTAATTTCAGTTGACAAAGAGTGAAACTTTAACCTGTAGGGAATTGAACACGTTATATCGCTGAAGTCGTCACCGCGTAGCGTTTCGGTACTGTGTGTATGCCGACCGCGGGTGTTCATGTGGCTGATAGTGGCGCGTCTAAATATAAAACGCAGGCACTGAAGCTACTGGATTGGTCAGTGCTGTGTTACAACCCACTTTGAAAAAATTACGCAATTTGAAAAAAAATTTCAAACCGCGTCAAAAATGGGACAAAGTCAACGCGATTTGAAAAAATATTTCAAATTGCGTTAAAATCGTGGACAGACTCAACGCAATTTGAAAGAAAAATGTAATATTTCAAATTGCGTCAAACAGGCACATTTTAACACACTTTGAAAAAATTTGAGAAAAATGTTAAGATGAGTATCTGCCTATGCCTAATCACCTGACTTTCTATAGGCCTATATATACCTGTACAATGGCCTATTTGGTAGAAATGTGGTTGCTGGGAAGTTGTAGGCCTATAAATAGCAAACCAGGGGCCCGTTGCTCAAAGCCCTCTTAAGGCCCGCTTCTTAACCAAAATTAGAGACCCTTTTTACAAGAAGAAGGAATTAGGTCCCAAAAATGTTTTTTTGGCAAAATGTACTTGTTTTAAGCAATGTGTATGAAAATATTCAAATATTCGCGCTATTTTGACTGCTCCCAGAATGCTGCCTGCTGCAAACCGGAAATTCCTCAGCTCGTGCATAGTAAGTTTTATAAAGGATGTTGGTATCATTAACTTGTCCTTGTCACATTCCCAAACAATAGTTTTAAAAAGTTGCTGACATATAAAGGCTTAGGCCTAAGCAAACAAATAAATTGATAATAAGCATGTCAACTGAATTCATAACCTCAAGCAAAATGAAATAATTTATGTATGTATGTTCTTAACGCAGTTTGAAATAATTTTTCAAACTGCGTTGACCCAATCCACCAATTTAAGGCAGTTTGAAATATTTTTTCAAATTGCGTTGAGTCTGTCCACGATTTTAACGCAATTTGAAATATTTTTTCAAATCGCATTGACTTTGTCCCATTTTTGACGCGATTTAAAATTTTTTTTCAAATTGCGTAATTTTTTCAAAGTGGGTTGTAACAGTGCTGCCACGTGCGCTCTTTTCGTGGAGTTTTTGGTTTGGGCATTCCCAGATAGCAAAGAAAAAAATTAATATGTTTTTCAATCCAAATTGCTCTGTATGACGTTGTGGGATTTATGTGCCTCTGCCTAATTTAATAGCGATGTGCACGCCATTTCTATGGATGTTTTTATGCCAATAAATGATGATGGGCACTTTTACCGACTTAAAGGCTATACCCTCCCTTTCACGTCCCTGGGTTAAAGCGGAATCGTCCTCTAGTGGGCTCACCTCCGGCCTAGCTGAGCGCTCTCAGAAGATGTATGATGCATTGGGCCAACGTCTGTACAACGTCGTACATGTACCGATGAGCAACCATAGGCCTATAGGTTGGGTCAACGTTGGCAAAACGTTGTTGGTTAATTGGCTTTCAAACGAATATTGGGCCGGTCGTAGCTACAACCAATCATGTGTGTGTTTGGCCAATGCTCTCTTGTCGGTTGTTCGGTGAAGCATCACACGGCAGAAAGACGCCGTTTTGCATCAGTGCTTGTTGTGGTTTAGTTTTGGAGAAATACGCCAGTTTTTACACAAATATTTGGTTTCAAACACTAAATTACTCATACTAAATCCTGTTTCAGCTTTCCTGTGCCACTACAATTATTGCGCAACATTAAGGCACAATACTTAATGCAGTTCTCTAAAACACACTTATTGCTATTAATGGTAAATGAAGGTTGCAAGCACTCCTCACCTCCTCCCAAACCACATGCATGCATCAACCTATTTGACAATCCAAGTAATCAAATGACTACCAAGTTAGCTTAATTATCAGGTTGGATATGATGACCCCACAACACATGGACTTTGCCCTTATCATTAATATAAATACATAAGGTTAAGATAAAGTACGAGGCGCTGAGCTTTACCAGAAATAGAGCAGATAATATTGTCTCGGCGAAGGGCAATAACAAGAACAGTTTCACGGCTAGGGCATTATGTTATGTTATGAAGGCTGTAGATGCTCTTTTCAGAAGAACTGCGTTTGCCTTTTCCACCGGAAAAGAAAGGAGTAGAATCCGGTGTCCAACTATTTGTATAAATAGCCGAGACAATATTATCTGCTCTATTTCTGGTAAAGCTCAGCGCCGAGTGCTTTATCTGGCTTAAAGCACGAGTAATTAACCCTGTGCATTGGTGCGTGGAACGCATTCGTGGATGACGTGACTTTACACGAAATAAAACACCTATTGTCTTTTGACAGGAGAGTGCTTTAATGTATTATTAAAAACGTAACACTTCTTTCTCCGATATACTGAAACTATTATGTCACATTATCTTTGTGTATTTTATTCATTTATTTATTTATTTGCAATGCTCTCAAAGAGTTGTACCTAAGATGCCGCCGATGTCAACACAGAGTATCATGGAGGGACCGCATTGTAAACTTGAGAGATCACGTGCCTATTGGATCTGGATTTCACGGGTCGGAAGACATTAATCTTTTTAATGAAAGAGTTCATACTCAAGTTCACAGTTTCAAAGATCAAGCAAGTAAGTGGTATGGAATGGGGGAGGGGGGGATTTCCATATCGACATAGATATACTGACACAAACGGCCGTTTTTTTTTTTTTTTCATTTAAAGAACATCAAGGGAATGCGATAAATAAAAGAGAAATTTGCCTTTTCTTTTCAGATGAAAAAAAGGCAAAATTGCGTTTTTATTAGTTATCAGTTTTTATTATCACATATTTGCACGAAAACGAAAATGTAAATAAAAAATATATTTCTTGTTATTGCTTAAATTAATTTCATTCATTCGCCTGTTTCTTTTGTCTGCTTTAAACCCAGGTATTGAAGAACAGGATGGGTATTAACTGTTTTCAATCATTTACCTCTATCGGAAACTATCGCCTTCGACGCATAATTACTTTAAACAATTAATGTAGTTTCAATGTAATTTGTTGTATTGCACAATCATTGGGCTAAGGATAAATTGGATAGAAAATATCACATCTTCTTTTAAACTTGCTTGACTTTCAAGTAAATGTTTCCCATTTTTCACCGTAGATTTTTTTGATACATGTAGCCCTACTTGATTCAAATCATGGCCCCGGTCCGCAGTCGCTAACGAAGGTAATGCCTCCATGTTGACTTCTTTGTAGAAGGATCGGGCCCTTCGTTCAGTGTTGTAACAACTTTTATCAACGGTGTGGAAAAGTGTGGTAAAGTACGTTGGCTACCCACCGAAAATGTTTTTTTAAATTTCATTTACCTTTCTGAAATGAAGGCGAGTGATTTTTTTGTCTTTGCTGGAACAACCGTCATTACTACTTTTTTCGAAGTGGTATCATGTATCATTTGTGTTCATTGTAGATGATTACCACGTTTTTCTAACTGTAGAAGATGCTGACTTTGAGTGCCAGAGTGAGAAAAATGAAGTAGGTTTGGGTAAATTCATTAGAGAACCGTTTTATATTTAATTTACTATCGGGCATCCTTAATGTATGAAGTATGGAATATTTACAACATGGATTAGACATATTTGTGAACACGCCACTCTTTGGCAAAAGTTTATCGGCATAAGATGTTAAACAACATTGTCATCGGTATATGTGTTTTTACAGGTAAAGAGTAATTGGTTTGTTGGTCTTACGGCAGTTGAATGCAGATGCCCCCGGGACTGGTGCAAGCGGTTCCTTGGTTGGTATGTTTGTTCTTTTATGTACTCTATATTTATACAAATAGTTGGACACCGGATTCTACTCCTTTCTTTTCCGGTGGAAAAGGCAAACGCAGTTCTTCTGAAAAGAGCATCTACAGCCTTCATAACATAACATAATGCCCTAGCCGTGAAACTGTTCTTGTTATTGCCCTTATAAAAACGTTGTAACGGCTTTATTTTTGATATCTTAAAATCGTATCCTAATGCCAGATAGGAAATATTTTTAATTCCAGGCGCTTCCAAAATGATGACCGGCGTTTCTACGGCTTACTTGTCAAGGAACTACATGGACCCCACCTGAAAGGTAAGGTGGAAACTACTTTTACTACATGTACCTTTGTAAATTTTACTAATCTATAAATCTTCACCGTTTGTTTACTCTCTTCCTGGCAATATTAAGAACTATTATCTTGCTATTATTCTAATTATCATTATTGTATAAACATGTTTAAAATCATATTATATTCAAAGGATAGCATCAAGTTGATAATATGAAGTTTATTGTTATTAAGAACGTGACAAAATTCACATTATTTATTCATTTATTTATTTATTTATTTATTTATTTATTGCACAACAGGATGGTTGTGGTGTGAGTCTTGTAGAGAAAATTTATTCCAACTGGAAGACATCGATCCCAAGGATCCAGTTTCATCCAAGGTAGTCTACGAGGAGAGTGCAGTTGTTGGTCGAGTGTTTGGAGTCCGTGTTCCAGTACTTAAGGATGAACAAGGTTAGTGTGTTAAATGTGGCATCAAATGTTACGATTAAAACAAAAAGAAGACCTTGGATAATGAAAGAAATATTTCACTCAACAGCTGTGATATAATTATTTTAAACGAGAAACCGTGTAGAAAAAGTAAAAATGTGAAGGTTATAGGGTGGGGGTGGGGGGACTGAGAAAGTAGGCCCTNGAACTGAACTCTGCTTATTTCTTTCTCTTTTAACTCCAAACCTAGCAGAGATAGGTCCATAGTTACTATTGAAGTTGAATAGGATGTCATATACTGGCAATTTACTCTGACCTTGAAATTGACCTTTGACCTACCTTACGATGAACTTAACTTTGATTGTACCATTTTAAGTTATATATATTTTTTTTGCATATTTTGAAAATTCTTGTTGATTGCATTTTTACAGCTTGTCAAGCATAAGACTGGTGGCTGTGTCCCTTTTTTGTGTATGTGGGGGTCTATACGAATGCGCTTGCTCCAGCTGGTGGTACAATATTCGGAGGCGGTATTGCCTCTCTGATCCTCTAGTTCTCTTTGTCTGTCTGTTTTGAGAAATGGCATTGAACTTGGATCATATTTTGATTTTTTTTTTTTTTTTTTCTTTTTTTTACTGTGCTTCCCCACAGTGTGATAGTTGTCTTCTATGTGACACAATGATTGTGACAGAGCTGGCACAACTAACACAGTCAGCCAGTGCTCTGCCACATGGGCCCCATATCTCTAAAGCTTTGCTATGTTGCGCACGGGTGCGAGCATGGCGATTCCGTGCTATTTGCGAGTGCAATTGCACCCACCTGCTATCTCGAAGCCTTAGCAAACCACAAAATGTAATTTTTTTTCACCATGATGCTTATCTAGAGGTTGTTTTTATTTATAAGAATATCAATTATAAATACTGATATTTGAAGTGTTTGACACCAATAAAATGTCAAAAAACAATTCAATAAGCGAAGCTTGGACTGACACAGTTACTGACACATTGGTGAGTAGTGTTCAGTCTCACAATAATAGACATTGTGGAAGGTCACGGTGCGTCCGAATGCTTAGTTTCTGCAGACAGTCTGCTTTTTCATTTTGTGTAGAAAATGACACTTTTAAATTTATGATTATTATCAATAGACTACACAGATGAATTATATTCATCAGAAAATATAAAATGATGTATGTTTAATTTTAAAATTTTAATGCATAATAAAACATGACTTTAGCATTCTTGACGTGAATATTTATCACAACTGTATTATTATAAAAATTAATGGGTCATCTACATGTAAACATCATTTAACTTGAAAGGAAATGGTCAGACAGTGGTCTCTCTTTTAGTATAGCCAGACGTCTCCGACCACACTCTTTAATAATAATTTTACCAACGTAAGTCATCTTCCTACCCTGTAATTAAGAGCATTTACCTCTAGCAATAGTTGATTGTTCAAATAGACTATATAACCTGTATGTATTCTCTGAGAGAGGTAGTAGTAGCTGTAGTAGTGGTGGGAGCAGTGTTGCTAAATAAAACCTGGGAAAACTAAAGGAGTGTTGTGTTCCTTCCTGGCTGTGAAATATTTACCGCAAGTTTTTCTATCAGAGGTACCGAGTGGTTCAATCTATTATAAGCTTTCATGTTTTTGTTATATGTTTTGTTACGGTAATGTGCCATGAATTTTGAACAGTAGAAATTCGAAATTCATGAAATGGAGGTTCTCAGAACTTCCGAAAGTACGAATTTCATGGAATTCTGTCAATTTTGACCAGAAGGTGTCTGTTCGTCGCTAGGCCTTCTGTTATCTTCTCCCGACGATCTATTTAGAGTTACCATAATGTATGATGTGTGAGTGTCGGTAATTGCGACCAAAGGTATACACGTACTTTCACCCGATCACTGTGTATGGCCCATGGATAGAGCGGTACTGTTGTCTAGGGCCGCAAAACAGCATCGTTATCAGTAGTGTCATTTTTCAAAAGCGATTCTGGCAGCCAGAAACTAGTGTCGTTTTTCAGAAACGATCCTGGCGCTCAGAACGGGAGTGGACGGAGGGAGAGACGGCTGACGTTTAGCGTCTGCCACAGCCAGATAACCTTTACTATGGAAGCTTAGTGTTACTGTTGCTCCTTTCCGTGCACTGAAACCGAGACGACAGCCGATCAGTGTCTATGGCGCACGTGCAGGTAGCCTTCATCTGCGATAAGTGTCTTCCGCGACCAGTTTCGTTGCCTTTACCGTTAAAGTCGGGCGGAGCTTTACGCGCGAATGCGTCCTCATCTCGCCGTTCGCGGGTCGGTGTCTCCGACGCATACGTAGCCTTCCCTGCAGAAGCCGGCCTCGACACTACGGCCTCTCCTCCGTGCGGGGAGGCCACTACGACCGCAGATCGGTATGTGCGGTGCACAGGTAGCCTTCGCCACAGCAGCCGAACTGTGTATTACGG